ATTTAAAAAAAATTCTTCACTATATCAAGATCTTCACTATATCGAGAGTTCACTATAACGAGAGTGACTTGTATTTACTATTACGCATTGTTTTTCATTTATTAGCATTGATTTAGTTGGTACTGGTACTTGTTGAATATAAGCGCTATTGTTTATATCCTGTGATGCTGGCATTTTTTTTATCACCGGAAAGATCAAAAATCTTCTGATATTTCAAATAAAAAATTTTAATTATCTCTGAGTCAAATAAACTGTTCCGATTCGGTTTTTTTGATAGAACTAGAAATTGCGCATGCGGGTGATTAAGACGCCAGTTTCAATTAATTTAATATAGCATACGTAATGTTAATTATAATAATGAGGGGTTTCAGAATTAACGTGCGGAAATCTAATTTTGACAGAAATAGATAACGTATTTATTTCAAATGAGCGATATATCGACTTTATTTCATTTTCCTATAAATTTGTAATAATGATTTTTGTTGTTGAAAAGTTTATTTATTTCGTTAAATGGGAGTCTCTAAACACTCCCATTTCATTGGTTTTTTTTTGCATAAAGCGCATTCACTTTTTCTTAAATATATGAGTCCTCGTACGTTTCAAACAATGATATCAATAATTTTTTAAAATTTAGGAACAATCCATAATTCTTTCCCATTATTTTTGATGATCAACGATTATCAATCAATTTATCTAAAAACTTTCAGTAAAAATGAAAGAAAAAGAAAGTTAAAAAGTGCTGAAATCACCCAATATTAACCTAAATTTTGTCACAATTAATGTAGCAATATTATAGCTGTTTTCAAAAAGATGTGGAACGGGCAGATCATATTACGGGAAATTCGCCAAGATTTCAAGATTTCCAAAGTTTTCAAGACCTGCTCCAATCAGTTCTTTACAGCTGTTTTCAAAAAGGTGTGAACAGACGCAAATAGCTATATCACGGGAAATTCACGAAATTACCCAGATTTCCAAAACTTTCAAAGCCAACTCTAATCGGATCTTCAATTTTTACTAATGATAATTTCCCAATTCTTCGATTCCCCACATAGGTATGTGGGAATCGTTGTTCACACCTTTTTGAAAACAGCTGTAATTTTTACTGATTCCCCATATGGGTATATGGAAATCGGCTTCCACATCTTTTTGAAAACAGCTGTAATATATCAATACCAATGACAATCGCAAGGTGAATGAAAAATTTCCTTTTCTGGGATTGCGAGGAAATTTTGGTAGATCCTCTACCACTACACGAAGATACTATGTAAGTTTGAATACGCGTTATTAAATATTCACATGTGAATTTAATATTTAACGTAAGTTTAATAGCATTAAATTTTTTATTTTGATAAATTTATACCGATTGTAAAACGAGTTATTCTAACTTGAGAATGGCACTCGTCAATTAGTAATTGACAAAATTGAGAAATGACGTGGAACCGTAAACCATTTGTTAAAATTTTTTTTATTGATTTATTTTTTTATTTTCTTTCTCAAACAAGAAATTTATGCCATCACTACATGTCAAGTTTAATGTAATATTATATGAATAAAGTACATTCATTAACTAAAATTAGATGAATTCATCCACGAGTTGGTAGTCTTAACTTTCTGCAAACATCATTGCATCTATGACTATCCAAAAAACATCATTTCTACCTAGATTAGTTTTTCCAAATCTTAAGGGATCAATACAATGTATCGCTGGATCTGTTAATAAAAACTGATCAGGTGATTCAATTCCTTGAAGATCAGAAACAACTAAATATCCTCCTGTGTGCTCATACGTGTAATGTACAAATGCCTCAAGAACTGGTCAATATTCTACAATAACACCAGAATTTACATTAAACCGTTTAAACTCTGCATCTTGAAGTTCCAATTATGAAATATAATAACGAGTCCTATGTACACTCCCCTGCCAGTGATCACCGGAATTTTCAAAATTATATACGATCGACAGCTATGACTCACGTCATACAATAATTTTTTTTGGGACAAATCTCTTACTATAAATATACAACTTTTTTTTTTACAGTTGCGCCAGTTGCCGGTCTATTCGACCTTTTTTTTTTTTTTTTTAGAAATTTTTTTTTTTTTTTATAATGAAAGAAAGGAAACAACTTAACGAGGAACAACGTGCCCAAATTGTTGGCACTTGGCAGAGTGGTGTGCGGCCAGCAAAGATCGCACGAACCTTAAACTTACCAAAAAGCACCGTCTATGATGTTGTTTCCTATT